CGACAATCGCATATCATAACGCGCCCGAAATCCACGTATAAGAGTATAGTAGCTTTATTTCTCCCTAACAAAATAATTCACAAAATTGCGTTACCTAACTCAACCCAAGTGATGTGTATTTTAAAAAAAGAGATGTAAAATCTTTAAATTGCGCCAATTGCAAAGAGAATATATTACACAATTTTTACATAAAATAAACACTTACTATATTCCTTCCCCTTTCCGCGCAGATCCATGCTTTTATTTGATTGTAACTTCTATCCTTTAACACTGGATAAGATTTTTTAATTTCTTCTACTTCTTTTTTATTTGGTTGGTCTGGCGGATTTTCGATGTAACATGCGCATGCTATGCGCATGGCGGCTTCTTCTTCCGCAGACCACTTAATTCCTCGGCCTTTCTTCGTCCCTGGCGGAAAAAATTTCTATGAATAACTACAAAATTGAACTAGAAATAGAAATTTGTACATTTTTGTTGAAATATTTAATTTTTTGTAGAAATAGTTATTTTTTTATAGAAATATCTACGAAATAGTACCACAAATTACAATGTTCTCAAATCAAGATATTATTGCAAGTAGTATTTTATGAAAAACTACAATTTTATAAAAAATTAAAACATCTACTTGTAGAATACTACAATTATTTATAAATGACTATAGAAATCTACCACAATTTACGTATCGTAAAACTATGCAACTTAGAATCTAATTCAGTTTTTAGTTTCTCATAAAATACTACAACTGCGTACAAATACTAACAAATACTGATTTGTTTGTACAGCTCAAAAATTTATTACAATTATGAATTTAGAAAAATTTAGATCAAGATGCACTAAAAAAATACAGAAATTTACAAAAATGTTCCAATTACAATTTTTACAGAAAATGTTAAATTATTATTTGTCAGGCTTGAAAGTTTTTTCAACAAAAGGAAAAGACATCGGCTGTTACCTAGCGACAAACGAGAAAGACGTCGAGAAAGCCGTATAGGAAGACGTCGCAGTCGTTGTTGGTGTGCAGAGTTTTGATCTGCTGCCTCGTGATCGTCTGCTGGATCGCAAACTCCAGCTCCGCGTCCATCGTCGTCACTCCGATGTTCATCGACTTCGGCATCGTGGCTGTTGTTTTCTGAAAAGAAATTTTTGCCATATTTTAACATTGATGGTGCTAAAAATGACCGATTAAATCCGATTGGCTCCGTATTAAATTTGGTGAAA